CGAGGGCGCGAGAAGCGCATATTGGGACAGGCCCCAGAGAGGGCGAGGGCGCGAGAAGCGCATATTGGGACAGGCCCCAGAGAGGGCGAGGGCGCGAGAAGCGCATATTGGGACAGGCCCCAGAGAGGGCGAGGGCCCCAGCAAGGGCGTAGCGCGAGAAGCACGGGACGAGTCCCAGAGAAGGGCAAGGGCGCGAGAAGCACAGACTGAGGCCCCAGCAAGGGCGAGGGCGCGAGAAGCGCGGGACAAGCCCCAGAGAAGGGCGAGGGCGCGAGAAGCACGGGACACAGGCCCCAGAGAGGGTGAGAGCGCGGGAAGCGCGATGAAAAGCCTGGAGTAGGGCAAGCACGCGGGTAGAGGCCCAAGGCGGGCCAGCGCGTGCAATCAGAGCCCGAATAAGGGTGAACACACGAGTAAGAACACGTGAGCAGGAGCCCGGAGAGGGCAGGGTGCGCAGGTAAAGGCCTGGAGTAGGGCAAGCGTGCGGGTGGAGGCCCGAGGTGGGCTGACGCGTACAATAGGGCCTGAAGAAGGGTGAACCCACGAGTAGGCCCCAGAGAGGGGCGAGGGCTAACGAACACAGGGGCACTAGAGCAAGCGAGGGCGCGTATATCGGAGAGGCCCTGGTGAGGGCGTGTATATTGGAGACACAAGAACGTCCGGAACAGCTGTGAGGCTTGGGGCATGCTGAAGGGGAGGTAGGAGGCACGCATAGCCCATAAGGCTGGGGTTGCACCAAGTCACCCCATCTGGTACGGGGGGCAGTATGAGCAGAGCACTGTGTCCAAGGGGATCGTAAGGCAGCCTCCCATATAAAACTAATATATCATCAAAGATGTGGCGGGCGAGAATTGAGGGTGCTGGATCGCTCACTTGGCACGGTAGGGGGGCACTAGCGGGATCACGGCCGCTCGTAGGGCCCGCCCCGTGACAGTGAGGAATGGGTTCCAATATGTCTTTTTGAACATAGCTTGTATATTGCTACCAATAAAGGTGAGGTCTGGATTATAGCTTCATCTCCACTGGGAGCTAGTCAAAGTCCCAGGTAGCTCTGTGTTATGGATCAGGCTTAGGTGGTATGTCTTTGTTCACATCCTAACCAAGCTGCCATTCTCACTGTTTTTACCGTAACCCCATGACGCTGTGGCTATTGTCACCAATGATTATGCATGCTTTTTTGTGGTGTAGGTTTCCTGGGCTCACAAAAGCAAAAGACTTCTCTGGCGGCTTACAAATGGATGTTATTGAGGAGATGTCCATATTGATAGTCAAGATTTCAGTGTTGTGTTGATGATGAGCTCTTGTTTTATGAAGACAGCACTGCCATATTTCTTGTGCTGCCTTTCGATGGCTTATCTCATCCCAGGGATCAATAACCATAAACTGAATTAGACCCATCAGTGTGCTCCTGTGGCACAAACAGGCATAGCATAGTGGACTACATTAATAGAAGCATCAACTGCAAGTCAAAGTGCAAGGATCATTCTTGTATTTGGCATTGGCGAGGCCTCACTTGGAGTACTATGTCCAGTTTGAAGCACTGTACTACAAGAAAGTTGTGGACAAACTAGAAAGAGAGTTAAGGGGACAGCAACAAAAATAATTATGGAAAAACGACTTAAAAACACAGGCTGAAAGAACTAGAATTATTTAGTTTTGGGAAGAGAAGACTGAGGAAGGATTTGATAACTGTCTTTAAATACCTTAGGAGTAGTTATATGGAGAATGGAGATAAACTATTTCTTGTAGCCACAGGAGACAGGACAAGGTATAATGGTGTTAAATTGCACCAAGGGAAATTTGTTTTGGCTATTATAGAAGGAACTTTCTCACTGTCATGAAGATGGTTAAACACTGGAAAAGACTATCCAGAGCTTGTGGAATCTCCATCTTTGGAAGTTAAAAAACATTCTGACCTATTATGAACTTTCTGAGTTCTTTGCAACAGAAGAATTTTTATTATTTTTCTATAATCAAAAATGAGTGAAACCTAGGAGCTGTCATTTTTTGAGGGGTGCCACAAATCTATCAAGATACTCCTTGATAGCTCTGTGGCACCTCTTGGAAAATGTCATTGAGTCTAAAAAGGTTGAGAACCACTGGGTTACACAAATGTTTGTCTATTTGGTCTTTGTTCCTGGTACTTACTTTCCTAGTATTTTATCAAATTTTCTAGTTTAAATAAAAATAACAGGGTAGATTTGATCAATACAAAACACAGAATAATACATAAGTCAGTACAGTTAGATCTTTTCCTTTTGCATAATAATTAAAGGAGATTTTCTTCTCATGAAGGAACTCCATTAATTGTATTAGCACTTGGCAACATGGTTTGATAAAATAGTTTGTCTTTTAAATTAATGGAAATTTATTTTATAGGACCAAGTTTAAGAAGGAAGTTACACACCCTTTTCACTCCTAAAAGAAAGTTACATTATCTTACCTTGGTTCCATTTATCTTCTGCAGATTAAAATGGTTGAGTCTAAACAGAACATAGTACTTCCACAGAGTGAAGTTGACAATTGGATTTCCTTGATGATCGACTGTCAGCTGTTCAATACGATGCACCTGGGATAATGCATTGAATTGCTGCAATGTCACAAGATTGGTCTCCTTAAACTTCAGGTGCTTTAAGAAAAACAAGAGACACATAAACTACATTAAGCTTACAGAGAAAAACAGGACAAGGCAACACAACCATCCTGAAGGCATCAACCTCTGTGACAGATCATCTTTATTCTATGCTACTTAACTTCTCCATACACTCAGGCCACTGACAGACATTCATTCAAGGGAATGATGGGATCTGATCTCCAATCCCAACAACTGCACCTCCTGCCAAGCCACACATGCACGGCAAGATGTGTGATTTTTGGGATTGGTGATCAGATCCCAATTGCACCTTACTTATCATTGCAAGGGGAGCCTGGGATCATGTTCCCGGGCTTCCCCTCCACTGGATTTTTGAAAACCAGGTCCCAACAATCAGCTGTCAGCTGGTCTGGGAACCATGCCAGGGTCAGTTTGAGCTGTAGCAGAAACTGAACTAATGTAGCTGATGTTAACATACAGTGTAATAATAGTGAAATGTAACCATGTTAGTGTTGCCCTGTAAGCAACTTAAACTCCATTTTGTATCCTTCTGCTTGACATAAGTGAATGAATTCTACATGGCCTTTGTGTATGAGTGTGTGTGAAAGGGTGAATGGTGAAAGAATGGCATAAAAACAGGAAAAAAAATTTAACTGTTTATGTAAGCAACAAGGCTCCAAATGTGTGAGTTACCAGTCAGTAAGCTAATTAATGGATGGCTGAATCCCTTTGAGGTCTAGGGCACAAAGGAGATAACAAGGAGGAGGAATGTACACATCCTGTCAGATGGGAAGCAAGGACACTCCAAGGCTAAGATACCAACTTTTACAACCAAACTGACCTCAGGCTGAGATAAACAGAAGATGGATGAGGAACAACTGCAAAAACAGAAACTGGGTATGGAAAAACCCCAAAGCACTGAAAGAAAGGATGCCAACTCCTATGAAAAAGGACTTCGAAAATACCAAGTTGGGTGAGTCTCTCTCTCAGCTGCTGTTTCTTCGAAGCACAGATGCAGCTTGGAGCGGGGTGAAGAGATGCTATCTCCAGGATCTTTCTCTCTCCCAATAAGGCCTGGGTCAGCCACACAGTGCTATTATGGAACAACTGCTGCTGGTAACTATAATGTCTGAACAGAATGGTTGTTTTGTGTTTGTGTGTGCCTGTGTGTAGTGATGTGCTGATGATCTGTGTGCATCTATGAGCGGTGTGTCTGAACCTCTGTCTAATTATTGCGATCAATATATGTGGCATTTTGCCTTATCCCCCTTTATAAGGTCTTGCTCTTGATTTGACAATTGGAATTTAAAGTAACAGAGCCTCAGTGCAGGCGCCAGTGCCTGCTGACGAGGAACCCCAGCGTGGTCCCTACCAACAGATGGTCAGCTGATCACCCCCAGATGTTTGAGCTATGGTGGGGTCCCTGCTGGCACACAACCACCTGATTGTCAGCTGGCAGGGACCACACTGGGGTTTGACCCCACAGCAGTCTCCAACCTGCAGGCAATCAGTTGATCATCTCCAAGCAGGGACCATACCAGGCTTGCCTTGTGCAATCCCAAACCAGCTGATGATCAACTGACTGTTTACCAGCAGGGATCACACTAGGGTTTCTTAGTGCAGTCCCAATCCAGTTGATACTCAGCTGACTGTCAACAAGACTGGGACTGCACTAGGGCTCTAATGGGCCCCTGTGCATCCCTACTGGATGACGATCAGCTGATCTCTCTCTTTTTCTTTATGTAGCCATTTATGCATAGTTCAGAGATCACTGGATACATGTAGGTTCTCAGAAGAACTACATAAATCAGATTTACAAGTCAGGCAAAAACCTCTGCCACATGTTCATTTTAAGGTGCAATGGAAACCAGCCAAAATGTTACTATGTATTTTTTGTGTAATACTTCTGTGGTTTATATCCTGTTTTACTGCACCATTAATTGCCTGAATGTGTGTCTAGGTTACACTTTAAGATGCAACTAACTCCATCCTTGGAGGTTTTTAAGACCAAGCTAGACAGCCTTGGATGAGATGATCTAGTTGGGAATGGTCCTGCTTTGAGCAGGATGTTAGACTAGATGACCTCCTGAGGTCCCTTCCAACCCTAATTTTTCTATGATTCTATGATAACTGGCTCATCATGTCTTAAGTGTAACGTCTGCCAAGGACCTCAAGTAACCAAATTCTGAGGTCCAGCTAAGCAGGTGAACTCACCTGACCAGTATTTTTAGCATTTCTTTAATAATAAATAAGCTTATGAATGCTTTCAGCATTAAAAAGGAGCCTTCATCTTTTTAATTCAATAAATTAGATTTTAAAAACCCTTACTAATCATGTCTTAGTGGGAAAACCTTATCACTTACTCTTTCAAGAGATATTTTCACATTTTAGAAGCACACTCTCATAACATCCTTTAAGCAGATGAAAATTTCACAATGGGGTAATTAAAAGACAAATAATGTACAAGCAAACAAAGTTTTAGGTTATTAGGTTTTCCGAAAGGTTGTCATACTTTTTTTCCAATATTATTTTCTAAAATTAAATTGAAGGCCCGTATGACCCAACTCATCAATATTTTGGTTAAATGGGTATTTATGATGTACTCTTTGCAATAATTTATTTGTATCAATATTTTCTAATGAGGACTAAAAAGAATCATACATGCCTATGCAAAAACACTATATGAATAAAGTTCACGTGAACTCTGCATGAAAGAAAAGCATTCCATATCTGGTTCATACACAAGGACTTAAGTGAAACATTTTGAAAAATGGAGCATTTCCTGTTTACAGCACCCATACAGTTCATTGCTCTGTCAATCCCTGCTGAAGAAGGGGCCCTATGACAAGGTCATGCTGAAGCAGAGAACCATGAAATTTTGGCAGCTTAAAACCTCTGGAAGAATTTCATAGCCCCAGCCTGAGTATACATTCATCTGGGCTGAAGCAAGTGAGTTGCATTAGATTCAGTATCTTAAAAAAGAGTTGTATCATCAGAGACTCCAACCTATGAGGACTGGAAGGTCCCATCTGCCAGCCTGACCCTATGGCGTGAGAGGTCTGCTTCATGCCTGGGGCTCGGGTTAGGGACATCACGGAGAGGATCCCAGCCTACATCCAACCTGCAGACCAGTACCCCATGGCTGTCATCTACGTGGGAACACATGACGCAGCCAGGTCCAACACTGACCGCATTATGAAGGAATTCGAGGCTCTGGGGGACAAGCTTAAGGAGACGGGCGCGCAGGTGGTATTCTCCTCTCTTCTTCCGGTGAGTAGGCGGGGATGGTGACACCAGGCCTGCATTGGCAAGGTCAACCGGCACTTATGCAGTTGGTGCCGCCAGGCAGGCCTTGGATTCCTAGATAATGATCCGTGCTTTTGGGCAGGGGACTTGCTGGAGTGGTATGGGCTTCACCTCTTTCCTAAAGGCAAGCGCGTCTTCTCTTCCAGGTTGGCTGATCTCGTACAGCGAGCTTTAAACTAGCCTCGCTGGGGGAGAGGGCCACAGCAAGACGAGGAGACACTACCCAAGCAAGACAGGTGACAAATTCAAGGAGTGCCCAGGTAAGAAACAGGGGTCCAGACAGTCTCCCAAATCAGGGGGTGGCACACACAGCTATGCAAGGCGTTAAATGCCTATATACCCGTGCTCCTAGTATGGGGAACAAACAGGAGGAACTCGCACTCAGAATAGCCAGTTCAAACCCAGACATAATAGGGCTTACAGAAACGTGGTGGGATTCATCCCACGACTGGGCAGTTAGCATTAGGGGCTATAAGCTTTACAGGCAGGATAGAGAAGAAAGGAAAGGTGGGGGTGTGGCGCTGTATGTCAGGGAGCAATACACATCCTCTGCCAGCAGAATGGGGTCAGAGG